ATGTTGGAAATCATTATCACGAGCGAAATAATTAAATTTTAACAAGTTTAGCTCAGAGGGAGTAAGCTTACGCATCGAAAGAGGGTTAACGGCAAATGAAAGCTTTTTTAATTTGACACATACTACTGCCTGTATTGTGGATTTAACATAGCAGTTGTATTGTTTGTATACTTGTATCATTCACACACACATTATTGTCACGGTGGTATAATATAGAATAATAAACCATTGCTTATATACTCACTCATAAACGTGATACTTTGTATCCGTGATATGCCATGTCGGCCAATAGGACGTTGCATTGTAAAATATGTACACAGCTGTGCTCAAATCGTAAAGACTGCGTATGTGTTATTTTGTGTTTAGCTGACGCTCTGAGCAACATGGATGTACTAAGTTTCCAATTGCTTTGTTTGATAATCGCCCTGTCAGTATGTGAGGTGAGAAAGTATTATTTATATTACTCATTTCATGGACGAATTCCTTCGCTGGGGAAGAAGGTGTCCAACTATTTGACCATGAGACAATTTGCGTCGATTGTTCACGAGTTTACCGTTGATCCTTGGAGATATCTTAAAATGTATGTATTAATACCTTCTTCACGTCTGATTGAAATCGAGTTTTTTTTCATATTTTAGGAACATTTTATAAACTTGGTAAAATCAACTAAAAGTGAACGCCAGTTTATAAATTTTGACTGCATTAGTGAGCGCGCATAATAGCCAAGCAGTCGGCGATATTCGGCTGATGTCTGACATTTGAATCAACTTAATACTTTCTGTAGCACGGTGCCAGGGCCTCCACCAACTGACGTTGTCCGTTGACACTACATCGTTGACGTCATTAAAATTCTCGCTTTGCAGCTCCTTGTTTGTTTAACTATTAAAATAATGAAAACCGTGAAGCTGGGCAATTGTATTTGATATATTTATCCTGTCGTTTGTTTAGTGTTAATATCTTAACTCATTTGGTACACGTATGTACGTACCCCATACCCAACCGCTGTGAATGACAGTCGTGCGTATTCCGTTGTTGGTAACTTAAGTGTTTATCCAAATCATAACTATGCCATTAGATACAAATGGTTTTGTTATTTGAGTTATGTAATTCAATATTCAATACCCAATGAAATACGTAGTCATTATTATATATGGCAATGTTGGCAAGTGCGTTCCACTGATGTCTATATCTGTGATTCCCTAAATTAGTTTATTGAATGGCGTCACCACGCCAGACCCATTCGAGGAGTTGAGCTGAGCATTCGTCCTCAGCTGCAAGGAAACACCCAAGTCTACCTGATCGTACTTTCGTCCGCCCGACGACCGCAGTGTGGTCATCCCACCAGTCCTATTACCTGAGAATTATAAGTCAGAATACTATTATTTGTTTTTGTTTTATTGGTCGTAGATCGGCAGTTTCGAGTTCCCGTGTGTGTTCCATGATTTCCACGTGCACGTTACTAAACGCTCTCACGATTGGAGGGGAGAGGGCGACCAGTCGTCCGTGGGCCTGTTCACATCAGTTGTTTTATACAATATACCTGCTTGTATGTTGTCCCACTGAATTATTTTACAAAGGCACGTACCAAAAGATATTAAATAATATTTTGTGTTTTTGAGTGTATGAATGTTAAACACATGAACTCTCAAGGCGATTTTTCTACAATACAAAATCAGTATGTGTCGTACAAAACTGAAGCTGGTATAAATCGTATTTCTGCTGAAGGACAGTGAACTCACGTGGACACACCCTTTCGCGTGCATAATAGATCAGCAATCAGGGAACGTCGGCAACACCAAACAAGTCTATTTGAAAAGTGGACACGCAAACACGGGTTGAAATGCGGATCGTTTGGCAGTATAAGTATTTGGGCTTTTGTAAAGTCACTCAAGCGTGAACATATTTTGACTGCCCCCCCCCGTATTGTTTTTCTTGATTCTATCACTTCTGTTGAAACTGTGTGTGCGGTCGGTCTTGATTCGGTCGGGCACTGTCACATGTGCCACCGTTTATAGTATACCTTGTCATTGAAACTGAATTGACACCTTATACAATGCTCCAAATTTCAATCCGAAATGAATCATAAGTCGTCTCCTCGTCTACTTTATATGCTATGTGGTAACGAAAAACTCGGGGAATGTCCTTACAAATTTAACCCATCCACTAACTGAGTGTCATAAAAAAAGAGACTTATTCTGTGCAATTGTTCTGAAAATATGTTCTCTAATAATTCTAAAGCAAACACTGCGTTTACTTGCTGACACGCGAGGTAGCGTTATTATTTCAATGGGAATGACCCTAATACAACAGCTGGCTCTTATGAAAACCAATGTTAAATCGCTGTATACCGATAATGTAAATAATGATGGATTTGCCTTTTAATAGATTGATTGCGGCAGAGCGTATTTTAAAATAAAAATTATCATATATATTAAATATATGTACTACTTGGGTAATATAACATCACTTGAGTGAAATTCTACAATAAACAAATTACAACTCATGGAAAAAAATACGGAAATCTCCGACTGTGTAATATTCTGGTGAATATATAGCATTAATGTCTTCAATGGATTCAAAAAAATACAAAGTATACTTTCCTTTTTTTTTACTTTCATTGGTAATGACCGTAAGTTAGGAGATATAACATTTAATGTTATGCTATACACTTTATATAAAAACTGTTACCTTTTTTTAAACGATTAAGAAAATAATTGCTAGCGTGATAATAGTTTCTTATTCAGTACATTGATATTTATATATAAACTTCACTCCTCGTCGTAAATCCTTAACACGTTATTATTCTCGTTAAGTATCAATGTAAAAATACTATCGTATATAAAGTTGTCCATATTGCCTTAATGAGAAGATCAGGCTTCAGGTTTGGCATTGTAATTGTAAACAGATAACGTCATATGACAAAACGCACTGCGAACGAATATGAGCTAAGGGGTAGTGGCAATAACAATTTTCTAGCTTAGTTTCCTCAGAGCTGGTCTATCAAATTACTTATTACATCAGAAAATTATCTATTATCAACAAACGAATGCTCTATAATGACAATTATTCTAAAAAAAATTTAGTTGCATTAAAAAAACAACAACAGATTTCTGTTCCAACCAGGTATAAATAAATAGTGGTAACTTTTGACAATTTTAAAACAATATACTGTGGTAAATTTTGTTCCCGCGATCGATTTTAATAAGCAATTGAACTTTGACCGCTTGAATGTGGTTATACATTTCAACTCCGGGGAGCTGTGAGTATTCAATTCCGTTTTCAGCTAAAGAACCCATGCTGGAAGAAGTCACGTTACACAGATAGCTAATTGTAATTACGTGTTATAATATTAATATTATTTGTATCAAGTCGACCATAACATGACTTTATTCCTTCATGATGAGAGTTTATCATTCTTTCATTGCAAAATAAAACCATGGAAATATTCATGATATGGCAAATGTATTTCATACTGTTGCAACTCAACTGCTTATAAATATTCAAAGCCTGTCTTCAATTTACATGAACATATTTCATGCCACAGATGTCCTCTCTTGGTCGTGCTGTTGTTGATACTTCGGTAATAATCACCACCGAACGTTAAGGTAATAGAAATATAAAAGGATTTCATTGAACACATGCTACGTTCCACAGTCAGAAAAAGTGCAACGGGGGTTGTAGAATGTAGAACTATTTGCTGACGTAACACAGAGTGCATGCGACTCGTATGCTAATTTCGCGTATGTGAATTGATATATATATATCACGCGTGCAGACGGTGTACTCTGTGAGTGACAGAGGCGGTGGCACGGAATTTTGCATGGAGGGGCGAGATCTGCTCACCATCCCACGCGGCCTTCCCGGAGTGTTCGGCGGCATGCTCCCCCTTAAATTTGTTTAAATCTAGACCCTCTGAAACGCCATTCTTGCATTTTTAGGGGCACATTTTGCTGACACAAAGGCTTTCAGCTTGACTTTAGGAGCGACGCCCTCGACATTTTTTTCGAGAGCCCAATCGCCCTCTCTACCCCCCCCCCGTGCCGCCAACACTGAGCTTCACACGTGTATCACACGTACACACAGAAAATGAATACGTTTTTGTAAGACCTATTATTTTTTTACTTTTGGTTTAATTAAAAAATGAAGCCTGGTAGCCTTATAAAGGCTCATGGACAACTTTATATATGATTTTATAGTGTGTTTAAACATTTTCTTATGTAATGTTTTATGTAATGAACATCTGATTGGTCCTTGCAAGCTGAGATATCCGAAAATTGGTGGTTGGTAGTTTTTCACACAACATTTTTTGAAATATTAGTAATTCTATTATATTATCCGCGCACATGCTTCACTTATGAATAGTGGCGATTTTTCACGGATTGTGAAACGATCAAGATTTGAATTGACTTAAATATATGTGATTAGCTCTAACACATTGTGATCAGTGTATTAGTTTTTAATCCATAGAAGCTGTGAAATGGACACATCAGATAATCAGGATATCAAATGTGTGACCCTTTAATATGAGATTCATTAAAACTCGTGAACATTGCTACACCAGTCTGATATTCTAGTGTCAATTCTGAAAATCTGTACACAATTTCCATATAGCGTATACATACCCGTATCGTGGTGCATTTAATTGTTCGCCACTTAGATCCAGCCAATCAGAATACTCTAAAAATGGCTTGATGAATCGCTACGTACCTACGTAGTCGGAGGATAATTCTTTTTCACCACTGATTGGTAACCTCCATGACTTCAGTACATTAGTTACCATGGATCTCGCATCCGAGGACTGATCCGTAAAGCCAACGCAAAAACACCGTCTCACTAGTCTATTATTCATATTTTTTTTATCAAAATTTCACGATCATAGACGCATCTAATGAACATTCATGATATCAGTCACAGGATTGGTAAACTGGTTAACAGGTAACTCGCGATGCCCAGCCAGCAAGATACAGCGAATGAAATAGTTTCACTGTTATGTCTTATAGGAATTGGATAGAAAACGGCAAGTTGTGCAAAGAGAAGTTGGAACAGTAAGACGTAAGTAAAAAATCAGCCGTTCGTCGGCCAATCAATTGTTTGGCTAAGCTAGTGAAATGTGTTCCATCCATCAATCGGTAATTTGTCATGGACTGCAAAACGGGCACCGCTTCAATTGATTCTAAAATTAGTTATTGCGTTAACAACGTTATCCCGGGGGTAAATATGGAAGCGGTGCGATACAAATGAATATGTATAATCAGTACAGTGCATCACTGAAAATATTTTTTTGTAGAAACAACCTCGGGGAAATGTGAAAATCGGCGTGGTTTGCTTGAAGTAGATGATTGCTACTGTGACGACTTGTGTATTGGTAACGACGACTGCTGCGACGACTATCGTACATTTTGTGTTTGTAAGTACTCACTGTCAATCGTTTCTGCGCACAACTCTAACTTGGTACATTGCTGTAATATGCGTGTCTTTATCCAAGCGGAGAGTACAACTTTACCACAGAATATTCAAAAATAGGACATTTTTCAGACAGAAAATTCGAACCAATTTTTTGGATGCATGACCACTCTAGCGAATGAGCAATGGAGAGTTGTTAAATGCCACATATAATTCCGCTCTATTACGAATTCTAAAGATGATTGACTCAGTATTCTACCACATACAAATGAACTCACGTAAACCGTACGCGTTGTTAGTACACAAATCGCGAGGGCTGCAAAAACACATAAGACATTTGCTGCATTACTTCGTTAAGAGCATTAACACTGACGCTAACGGTAGCTAACGACCTGTTTTGGGGTTTCGGTTCTAGTTGAACGTTCGAAGCTCTACGTAAACATACAAAACAAACAGGGCGTCGATTACAATAAGCGTCCCCGTAGTCGTTGAAGTATTAAGGACATTTTTGTGGCCAGTATTTTGTGGGTTCTTTTTAATAACCTCATATTCTATTCATGTACATGGAACTAAATTCAGTATTAAAGTAAACAAAATTAGCAGATCGGGTAATTAACAACTTCCTAGGGGAATTCCGTATCAATGCTCCAATAACCAACATAAGCGGTTGAAGCGATCACAAATAAGATTCGTACGGATAATTTACAACTTCAATTGTTTAGCCCAAACAACTTGAATGCTGCAATATCCCTGATAATCAAAACAAAATTGACGCCCGTCAGTTCGTCAACTTGTCTATTTCATTGTGCAAGGGGAAGTGAGATTAATTTCATCAAAATAGATCATTTGATAGCGCCGATAGGAAAGTCCCTCGCTATATTGCAATGTTGAGAATTTTTCCGTCCCAATCTTTTCAAACGTGTAGTCGTCATTTACCACAGAATGAGAGTACTCATTATTCAAACAATTATTCTGATTTTTTTTCCTCGTGCAATACTATTTTTTAATATATTTGTTCTTTATGGTATTATGTGTTAATTGCATTATATATTTTTTGTATTATTTCTAAATAACAATACAGTTGGGACATGTGAAAATAAATGCGGCGTCACAGAAATCCAAGAATACTGCTTTTGTGATTATCACTGCGAAAGCGAAGATGATTGCTGCCCGGATTACCATATGTTTTGTCCACGTACGTATCAACAACTACAAATTACTACATTCACAAATTTTATTTCTATACATTGATTGAACAATGGGGTTCTGTATCAGTTAGTCGCACTATTAATTATAGCGCCCTCTATTGATGACATTTTTTTCAATTCCAGAACTGAAACATATGAGGTAAAATCAATATTACGTTAGATGTAACTTTCACGTGGTTACGTGACTGCTAAGTAAATCAATCTTTTATTGCAGATTCCAGTGGTCACTCTAAATAAATCAAAGATGACACCACATCATTCTTCTCACAAGTAGAGGATAAAATTTAAGAAACAAAACAGTTACATCGATTATGCACAACTTATTTTAAGTGTCGATTTTGCATTTTGAACAGAATATTTTAATTTAGTTAATATTTAATATGCAACAAAATAACAAAATTCGAGGAATTTTTCATGTAACCCATCTACAATCTCCAAGCAATAATCTCACTAGTGTTAGCTAAGTAGCACTCATTTGATTGATCATGTTCATGTCAGAATTAGAACAACTAATTTGCATATTAATAGCAATAAATGAAAAATAGAGGTATCGATTTATTTTAAATGGTAAGCATCTAAAAATGTTAAAAAATCATTTTATACTTGACTGCGTGTTTTATTAATTATTCAAAATACATGCAAATATGTTAATTCAGTCCCCACAACAATATGGGTGTTAAATCTGAATTTGTATAAAAAAAATGGCTATAAAATGTTCATTTTAGTTAGCATATGCAGAAATAAATGCTGCTTCATCCTTATACTGATTAAGTATCAATATATTTTCTTCGCAAGCCATAATTTATTTATTTGGCTATCACCCTCACCATTATACTAGAATTCACACTATAAACCTGTATTCACTGTCGGCGAAATCAAAGTGTTGTGGTGCGTTCCCATGGCGTGCCAAATAAAATAATTCAATTTAACTAAAATTTGTTTTTTCTAATTCGACCAAGCACACATCTGTAAGATATTCGTGAAACAAAACGCAAATTATGCGAATCGGACAATGTATCAATATTTGTGTCTAATAGTCTGAATCACAACTCTGAAACTAATCACGATAATGTATTCATGACACTGATACACTGGTATTATATAGTTGCTCTTATTATAATGTTCGTTGATTATTAATTTCCACGTCCATTCTCGTTATCAGACGGCGTGTGAATATACAATGCATTCCCACATTTGGACTGACATCACATCACCTTACCTTCACTTCAAATTCAAGCCTTTCTTATGTTGCAAATTAACAATGAACATGTGTCCGTAAAAATAATACATGTTTTTTTTATATTTTTAATTCCATTATGTTTGTTGTTTTAATTATTTGGGTAATTTTCTTTACAATTTATATTAAAACATGGTGTTTACAGAGGTGAACTACCTTGTTTTATTGTCGGCTATGCTAATGTAACGATCTCGCATTACATTATTTAATACAGATCCGGAGAGTACAGATGAACTTCGAATGATTACATTCGATGGTCGCGTTTATACGTTTCAAGGTTTATGTTGGTTTACCCTGTTTAAAGACTGCTCTTCCCCCGAACCTGACTTTGAAGTCTCCGCTAAGTTTCAACGTAGAGAAGATGGCACCAAAACAGGAATTGTCTCTTTTAACTTAACTGTTGGGCATGAACACGTTACTGTTGATAAGCTTGACGTGATTACGGTAAGATATACATTTACTGTATTATCATATTAGATCAGTTTGGATGCATTGCATGTCACATTGTAATGTAGTAATCGTAATTAGACACCTGCAGTGCACGCCACTTTAGATGGTATTTTTTCAAACAAAGAACAAGTCTGGTGTGATTAAAGATCAAAAATGATACGATATAGTGAATTGACCAATGTTTTCTGTTACTCAATTTATACCAATGTCAGTGTGTATGTACAGTGAAGTCTGTGCTATGTTGTGCAAATGTATTTGCTTAACGAATATCGTATATTATGTTGCCCCGCAAGTTATTCCACTTTCGATTAAAAAAAGGACACCAAATACAACAATCCGTGAAACTGTCTGTTAAATACGTGTTAGTTTATTACCTTGTAGAACAGCTTTAACAATGTTAGCGAATTAGCGATAGTGCTGGCGTGCAACGAATGAATTCCTGTTCCGTTGATGAGATACTTTTAGCTAACAATGTTACAAAAAATAACCGCATGTAATCACCTATACCAGTACATTCACAATACGTTTACATTGTTATATTTTAATTATCTACTTACACAAACTATTATCACAGAGAGAAGAGGGGCTTGTTGATTCAGCAAGGGCAATTCATATCCAGGAACTAGAGAACATGGTGTTATTGAAATTCACATCCAAGAATACCACATTCAACCTGGAGTGGATTCCGAGAGAATATGCATTGGATGTCTGTTTCCAAGGGTATACTAGTGAATATCAAGATAAAATATGCGGTCTTATGGGAAACGATCATAGTGACGATCCTGGATTTCACAAACCCGATGGCAGTACTGTTGACGACGTTTTTGAGTTTGCAGAGAGTTGGCGATTGGAAGACGAAACGTAAGTAGTCAATCAAAAGTAATATCATCGTTGGCACGTTTATTTACAAAGCAATTACATACGTGATGTGTAACTAAGTACGACACGAAGTGATTATATTTTTATTATCTACCAATTACACCAGCAGTAATAAAAAAATAAAAATGTATTCCATTGTTTACAGATGTGACTAAGAATGTGTTTCAAAGAATGATTTGACCACAGGACAGCAATTCAACTAATATACATTCAAACCAACGTGGCTTTGCGGGATTCTAATTAATGCATTACATTTATGTAAATTGCTGGTTATGGCTACGTCGATTTGATTATATCTCAGAGTCAATTCAGTGCAAGAAGAATATGTTTTTTACTTTAATGTTAATGTTTTACAGTAGATGTTAGTATGGTCGCCATTGATGTTGTATATTGCATCATAAAGTGCACGTGTTCTCTTTTATTATTGGACATATCCTAGGCCTGCTGGGTTCCATTACGTTGCCGTGTCATTCAGAATAGTTTACTACATTTAGACACTCCGTATTGCTATGTTGCTCCGTTACTCTGTTCATCCTAACAGAAGAGGACATGCAGTTTTAGTGACTTTGAGAAGCTCAGCTTTGAACGAGGGCGAACTGGAGGTTGACAACGAAACACGTGTTGATCAACATCCAGCGTTGCTGGAAAAAACACCCATTTATATTCATATACCGAATACATCTTTACGGAAGGAAAGGCGACTGTTCACAGAGATGACGCCATTGAACAATTCAAAGAGGCAATAGACTTTAATGCTTAAGCTCGTACCAGAACAGTGGTGAACTTGAGATAACTCTATCTGCTTCAGTCTATTGTCCCATACTTAGGTCTGTGTCTTGAATTTGTACATGACATGAAAAATGATTGTAATTTCGCCAGTAACCATTTTGCACATTTTTTGCAGCAATACCTCACTCTCCTATCACCTATGGGGTTGATACTTCTCAGCTCATTCGATATTCCAGGACATTTAGTACATATGCAGATTTTTTAAAGAGACATTGTCTCCCATTGTTGAACTATAAAATCAAATGTTTGTAGAGAATGATTGGCCTAAATTATTTGTTTAAAGATGCATGAGCTTGTATATCCAATAAAACTGTAACAAAGACGGCATAACAGATGGCATCATTTTCACTTGTGTATTTAGATAATGGGAGTAATAAATAAACCGCTCGATGCATAGAGCCGAAGACAGCCACCATTAGTGGCACTGTATAGTTTTAAAATCGTCGGTGGTTCACACAGATATTCTACTAGTTATACAATTTGAGATAATCAGTCGGCGATGTTCACGCACCTTTCGGTTCTTTAGCTGTTCAGTTGCAGCAGTCAGTCGACGAAAACTCACTTGAAGTAATTGCTGAACTCAGCGGAAAACGGCATAGCAGACCTTTAGCATTGGTAACGTACGACCGAACGTAACTGCTTCGAAACCCATAACCCAATAGACCCACACGCCACGTGGCGACACCAGAACCTTGACACACCTGCTGACCACGCGAATTATTGTAATAAATGACCACGAATTCAAATCTGACGACTCCTTTATAGACAACACATGGGCGTCTCCCTAGCCCAACGATAAATGTATAACACTAAACACTAAACAAAACACAGAAATACGTAACAATTGTGAACACTTTGGCAATCAAAATACAAATAAAAACATAAGTTGATATGGGAATATCTAAATAAGTGTGTTACAATTATGTTTTGTCAAATATGCATACTTCAGGAATCTACCCCGACGGTTTGCTCAGAGAATTGATTTAATTTACAAATTTACAATGATAAATCTGATTGTACTCACTAGGAAAGAGTTCACAAAGAACACACAGACACTCTTATTTGATCCCGAACTGAAATACTCGACCAACTTTCATGCACACACTGGAGGCCGCCATTTTGGTCTTATAATCTCGTGGATCGCGAGAATAGTGATCGCGAATTACAATGCGGCAATGGCTTCACTCCAGTCCAGGCGTTTATTTCTTGGAACCAACTCGCAAATATTCAAAAGTGTTGAATTGGAATTTCAACTCGGCCTTGCAAGATCTTTCAAATAGTTTGAACTCCTGAATTTTCTGGAATTGGAAGCAAAACATGCTACTCTTGTTGGAATCTAAGCACAACCTCCAATGTTATGGCGTCTTTCACCCAGCTATGTTACCGCTCTACAGAACATTTCGCCATGATTTCCCAGCTATACATGGCGGAAAGAGAACTCCATTGTTCATACACGTCCATACATATGGCAAGAACACACATTCCGTATTTTATGAGAACCCAGCAACTTCTGGAATTAGAAGGTTGGTATTTAGGAATTTCGTTACCTGCATGTGCGTGTTATGTGCATTGGCTACAAGTGTATTTCTGTGATGGAAATATGTGTATGTGCACTGCACATCATAACATTGAGTGTGTCGAATGAGGAATATGCACATAATTAATTCTATTCCTGTTAACACCGTCTTTCCTAATGTAGTGTGCATTCCTATTCAGTGACCAGAAAACAACAACACAGCTTCAATGTAATACATTAACATCAACGTTCATGCACAAAGTAACATTACCCCCAAATAGTTTTTCATTTGACGTACGCAGAAAACAAACTACAATTTCCCTATAGCGTTCCAACCTAGGCAGCCATTTTGTTTGAACAATAAGCCAAATACATGTAATTGGAGTTCATTCGACATTTATAACACAAATTTACAACGAATAATTTCGAGTTTCGGGCACTTTATGTCCGAAAACATTTCTGCCCATAACCCTTAATTTATATATTCTTCTATACAAATATTTTGTCTGTAATCGTTGGCGTATGACGTCGTAATTTGTGTCGTATATCAAATTTAGCAGTTATTTTAGGCTTGAGATACGATAAAGCAGTGAGAATATGTTAAATATTATGTCGACTTCTTGACAAACGTCAATTAGTTTCATCGAAATTACATATTTTTACCGTAACCCATTGTGCTATTACTATTTTGCTCATGGACTATTCTTATCAACTACGTGTCTAGTTTTTTTGAATGATCAATGAAAGTTGTAATAACTAAAAATATTTACGTTACACCAATTTAACCTTCTCACAAACATTAATATTTTTCGACTCAATTTCATTATTTTTTTTAAATACAGATAGTTTTATAATATGAGGTTATTACGAGGATACCTCAAAGTATGCACGAAGACGGTACAGCGGAAGTATCGACCGACGCGCGGTAGAGGTCAATGCAACCGCGTACTGTCCAGTCAAACCCTGGTGGCAGCCATGTTTGTTTTTATTAGAGGACACTTACGCGCGCAATCATTCCATATTTGGAATTCGCATTTACTTGTATGCTAGGATAAAAATACTTGTTTGGGTAACATTTCTCTGAAAAAAAATAAAATAAATGACAAAAAATATCTTATTAAGTTTTACTTATTACAACACATTACAACATCACCTGTGTGACAGTTTATATTATATCGCGATATCAGATCCAGATTGTCTCAGAAAGGAATTCCCTTGATCTGTCATAATTGTCAAAATTAATTTGAATTTTCATTTCGTCTGTGACCAATAGCGAATGTAATTCAACACGAGGGATATATTCCTTTAGAGGAATGGCAACTTAATCTATATTTAAGAGTTTTGTCGTAATTCAAGATTCAATCTAAGCACATTGTTTGTTTGGCACAAACTAATTTTTAAAAGTTGTCTCAGAAGCACGGGCCATTTTACAATTATTTTAAATTAGCTCATGGCGAAACCTAGCATTTTGTGGATACATCATTCGCCGAATTGTTACACCTGCCCTCTATCTCATTCCGCTAAATTGTATGTTACACAGAGACGCAGTTATGTTATGTTTTCGCTTACGCTGCTAGTCACGTAATAATATGTTAGTTTTTAATTATGGCTTGACATTTTTAAATGCATAATATATTTTTATTGAAACCAATGTTTATTGAACGATCCATTAAAACGATGTTTCCTTTCCGTGAGTAATTTATTAGATATTTACATATAAGGTGAACAAATATATTAACCATTTTATTGAGTGTCGCTCACACTTGCCATTCATTTATTACTGCGTTTTTGTTTTGTCATCACTCTTACAATTGTGGACATTCTAAATGCCATTATCTAGAGTGCTTCGGCGAGCTTACATTTATACGTACATTAAAAATGCTATAATTACTTGTTATTTTATTTTTATTTTGTTTCTTTTTATTAATATATCAACTTCAAAATCTTGAACCGAACAAGTTCGATTCGAACAATATATATATATTATACATATAATTTCCTTCACATATCCGATAGTTGACTGTCAGTGCTCCTCTGACGTAAGGAGCCGAAGTATCTGCATTTAATGCAACATTGGTAGCCAACAATTGTGGCTTTACTTAAAGGAAGATGAGGTCACAGCATACGCAAATAGTGGATGATCAAAATTTATATAATAATTGTTAGAACTCTGGGGAAAACTGTCAAACATGCCAGTGGTAGAAAGATTGACCCCCTCCCGCCGCCCGAAAAAGCGAGACCTGTCATCGATTTGTTTTAATGTCACGTGTTGAAAAGTAAATTTCATAAACATAGCAGATCACCTGGTGTTGTGGTCATTGCATTCTGTATACTTCAGATAAACCTGATTAAATAAATGAATTAAATATTACTAGGTGGAAAGGCAGTGACGTGTTAATTTTAGTGTAAGTAGTCAAACATTTCACTGTATATACGCCAGTTGTCGATATATTCCACTCTACTTGGTGTCACTGATCTGCTTGGAGCTCAAGACTTATTTTACGTCATTTCCGATATGCAATTTTTTCTGCTTACAACTCTTCCAAGGAGGATTTGGATTAAAACACGATCTAAATTTTTAAGACGATAAACTCTCCTATGTGTTTAGTGCTGAGCTTCTCTATTAAATACAACAGCGAATGGATTCCTGAGAGGGGGCAGCCAACGCGCCTTAACGAGGAAAACGTGAAAACTCGATGGATTATTCGCGTTTTTATATGTAATATCGGGTTTCTGAGACTCCAAAAACAGTGCTCTATTAACTAACCATAAAGTATGTGTTAAAGACAGGACTTAAACTATGTTTAACACCTTAGCTACTCTTTATCATTGGTTGTATTTTCTATTGATCCGATTTAGTTCTTGAGCTAACTGATAACAGACGTTCAAAACGTAAATAAGTTGTAAGAAGAAATGTCCATATGCATTCCATTAACATTTGTTATTTATGTAGATTCACCAGATGTATTATGTAGCTGGTTGATTGATTTTTACGTCGATCGTGACTTGAAATTATAGTAAATACCTTGCCAATAAATAATTATATATAA